AGAATGATTCTTTTCACCTTGGATATTTTTTCCCCGTCAAGAGCATCAGTCCCGAGGACTTTGACCTGATCAAAGAGCCTTTTCAGGTTCTGGTAATGAGGAGATTCCAACACTGACAAGTCGAACTGCGAGATGTTGTGAAGCCACTCGTTTCGCTTCCAAGTAGACATTTCCAACGATCCTTCAACCTTTCAGGGTTAAACCAGGTTCAGTCGTCAAAATTCCATTCATTATTTTCGAAATAAATTTTTTTTTAAACATGAAGAAAGTGCTTACTTTTGCTTTCGAGTTTTCTTCCGTGATGTTGGTGGCGAATTGCCAGGCGATTAAAGCTTTGAGGTTTGATCTGCGTCGCAGCTCTTCCGAGTAATATTCTATGTAAGACTTGAGTTCTTCAACGGTAAGCTGCCTTTTTGCAGAAGACGCGGGTTCTTTTTGGGCTGAGGATGTTTCATTATTGCTGGGGGATATTGTTTCCTTTTTTAGATCCCCAGCAGAAACTGCAAAATTGAAGAAAAAAGGAAAAAGGTTTTCAATTAAGATGTTTGAAGAGGCTATTGGGGACAGATGTCACCACAGTATAAGTTGATGTCAAGTGACGCAATAAAACACAACAATCAGTCTTGGACAGGACTGGGAATTCCTTGTAAGACTTCCTAAGTTAACAGGATAAATGCATTTCACAAAGATAAATTGATAAACAACTCAGCAAACTCTTCTTGCAGCTAGGATACATTAGTTAGCAAATAACTCAAATCAAATCAACTATACTGATGATGATCTGATCTAGATTAGCTGCTTATATACTCAGAGATATATTCAACCTTCATTGCTGGTTTCTACAGAAAACACCTTTGATAGGTCACACATTCTAGCATTGAAGATGCTGCTAGAAACAGTAAATTGAGTTGTGAATTTTGACTTGAATTTCCCTTTTTTTCTCAGATATGAAATGAAAGGTTTAGACGCAATCAGCTGGGTTGCGGCTGGGGTGCTTGACACCCTAGTGTAAGGTTGATATATTTTGGAATTTAAGTTTGATTGATTTGAGCAGCAGTTTTGACAAGCAGTCTTTTGTGTAAGACAACACAGAAGAAACTGATGATTCAATACAGAAGCAATTCACTATTTAAGCAATTTTCTCTCTATAGCATTTTTTGTCCCTGAGTATTATCCTTCTAAAAGGATTTCCCCAAGAATCCCAAATCTCATGGGAACTTGAGGTTGAGTTTGGTCCCACAGGATCCCCAACTTTCTCAAAGTATTGCCATTTTCCTGGCGCCACTCTAATCCTGTCGTATTTTAACCTATTACTGATTTTTAATTTCCAACAGATGCTATTGTACCAGGAAGTTCCTGGCACTGCAGTTTTGAGGAGGGGGAAATTATTTCCAGGAATTTATGTTATATTTAATTATTAATGCGCAGTGTGCTTACCCAACAGAGGCAAAGGGGCTGATTATTTTCTTGAGGCTGAAAATCTTGTGATATCAACAATTTTCCTAATTACAGGAGGTCATAATATGCAATTGTTCCTAAATGCAAATGTCATCTGCTGGTTATCCAAACATATTCAGGCATATATTTATGGCACATTGAAATGTTTGGAAATTTAACTTTTTCATGAGTTAAATATGGACATTTGAATGCATCCTGAGTTTCTTGGTACACATTTGTACATCACAGTTTTTCTTCTTGTTACCCTGTGCAAGGGGTGTAACCCTGCGCAAGCTGTTGCTCCTGCAAGGTTCAAGTGGGTTCTGTAAGGGACAGATGTCACCTCCCCTTGATTAAGAGCATGATATTTACAGTATTATGTAAGTAACAACAAAAACCCTCCATGGAATTTCCTGCAATTGCGCAATTGTTCTGACCTCCTTCTCAGTCTGCCTGATTTTGCATTTGGCCCTTGCTTTGTTCTGAATTGTCTTGTAAAATTGAATCATTTTTTTGTAGAAAAAATTAACTTCATTTTTCTTTGGGATTCTACCAAGAATCCCCTGCTGCTTTCCCTGGTGGATTGCGTGTTTCATTACTTGAAATATTAGTTATGAGAGCCTTAATTTCTTGTCCTTGTAGCCTCTGATGTGCCAAAGGTTCTGAGGCTTGGGGTTCCTGGTGTGGTTGGAAAGTGTTTCAGTATTTGAGGAGAAGAGAATTTAGTTTGTAAGTAGTAACTTTCCACAGGCTAATGGTGCCCTTGCCAGGGGGATTTGTTTCTTCATATTTTGGCACAAATGGGGAGAAAGTGGTATTTTCCAGGGTTTGAAGTTGTGTTTCAATCAGCACGCAACCCCGAAAAATTCTATAAAAATTTTTGAATGTCGAAGGACACTTGGATTTTAGTTTTTACACTATAAAAATATTCAGAACTTTTTGAAAAGAAAAAACAGTGAAATGTTGTAATTGCTGCTTTGCAGCCCTCAACAAGAAGTTATGATATTTCATGATGCATTAATGTTCCACAGATTTTCCTAATATTCTAAAAATACATTGGAAAAATACTGGAAAACCCAACCTGCATGCATGATTGAAATACCTTAGAAGAATATAAATTCTGGCATTTGTGTACAGAAAATTTAGCATAGCAGAAACTATATGAAGCTCTAATACAAATTGATTGACGTTTATTTTAGAATTTAGAGATGTTTGGTTTTTTGAGTAAAAAAGTAAGTTTGAAAGGATGTGGCTATTTTTCACAGAGCATACCATTAATGTTTAAATTATCTTTTTACAAACTTTTTTATTGCTTATATTTCAGAAAAATCAGTATAATGTAGGAAATGCAAGAAGAGGGAAGATCTGCAATAAGAGGCTTTCTAACCTGAAATTTTCTCCATTTGTACATCAAAACAAGTTGAAAATGATGACAATTCTCCACATATCTGTTGTGAAAGTACAGGTGGTACTTTGCAATTTGACCCTAATCTGTCACCAAACTAGGGTCAAATTGTGAGAAAATTCATAAAATTGGAAAATGTCAACAAAAAAGGGAAAAATAGCCAAATCAAGTTGAATTCTTGGGCAGAGGTTGAATTGTAAGTCAACTTTCCTGAAAATTTGACTATTGAATTGCAGGAGGTCAAATTGCAAGGTACCAGCTGTGCTTCAAAGCACTTAATTATTACTTATAGTGGTTTCTCTTAAAATTGCCTTCATACATGCTCAAAGAACCAAGAAACCCATTATAACGATGTTTTAATTAAAATTTGTTTTCTCAGGTCCCTGGAAGTTTGTTGAGATTTTATTGATTCATATATACAGTACGTCTGAGCTCCAGCATTTTAGTTTTAGAATTTTTTTTCTGAACTTCAAATTTCTTTTTTATCCTGTGAGGTATGAAATTTGATTTTTGAACAAATAATGCGCAAAGTTTTCTGAATACAATATAGTTTGAATGCATTCAAGCTTAACTTATTTTATCCCTCCAGAATCAGTTTATATATAGACTTCAACACTGGCAGATTGTCTTAATTATTCTAGCCCTAGAAAATGCTGAGTCTGGTATACAGAAACTGTTGGGAAGCGTGGGATTCTTTTTTCTTCGCGCTGTTTTCATAGGAAAAACAAAATTGACCCCTCTGTATAGCTGTAAACGGATCTCAAGAATGAGTGTGCGTACTCCACAGAGAAAACAAATTATTATTCCGTTCCTATTTTTTTGAAATCAACTCACCATTCTTCTCTGTCAACAACTTGGGATCTTCCTGATGATGAGGAATAAGAGACTTAGTGGAATTTTCAGCTTCCTTTATTTCCGAGTCCCTTTTCTCAGAAATTTCCTTCAAAGTCGAATCGCTGACATTTTCGGAAGTGCTGGGTGATTTATTTCCGGGAGCCGAATAAACAGAATTCGCCAAAACGAAAATCGCACACAGCAATAACGGGAAAGACCTCATTTTTTCTTTCCCTCTTTCATTTTCAAATAGAAAAAGAAGAAGAAAAAAATCAATGTCGGAATATTCAACGGATATTCAACGGATTTTTCTTCACTGACTGCAACATTTTTTTTCAGTACTGTATCTCAAAATGAGCGGGTTGGGAAGAAAAATGATTAATTTATTATTTTATTGTCTTCGCTTTTCTGAGTGATACCTCTGCTGACAGACGATCATTTCGCCTCTTTCCCAGCCATCTAAATCCAACTGTTCGCACGGTTATATCCCAGTAAGAAATATAAATAAAAAATGAATGAAATAAATAAATATATTTACTGCGCGATAGGAGATCACTTCAGAAAGCGTCATTATGTATATTTTGTGGCTCCAAAGTATATTTTTCACTGCTTCCGGAAAATTGAGGATGGTCCGAATTTCATTTTATTTTTTTAACGAGGATTAATTTTGAGAGCAAGTCTGTGATACAAATTAATAAGGATGTGAATATGAATAAATGTATAAATAAATGCTCCTCTTCGGCATACACTTTCTTTTTTCAGCATACACTTCAGTAAAATCAATATTTTATTTATTTTTATCTGAGGGGACGAGTCTAAAATGAGAGGATAGATCGTATTTTACAGTCGAGGAATATATAAATAAAAATATTCTCTGAACAATAGAAAGGAGATCACTTCAAAAAGCGTCATAATTTGTATTTTGTGGTCACTAAGTCTAGTTTTTACTGCTTCCGAAAATTTAGACTGGTTTTAATTTTTTTTAACGAGGACTATAATTTATCCATTTTAGAGCCTGAGATTTGCAGCAAGTTTTTGCCAACATGCAGGCTGGATCTCGTCTCTAGAAGCTTTGATAATATTTTCAGGCACAGATACGAAATTAAATTTTACAGCAATTTTTGAGTTACACTTTCTGGCAGAATTCCTTAACTTGCTTTTAGTGATATGCTGCCGAATTTTCGTTTTTTCCAATTCTTACTCCAATTTAAAGTACATTGATTAAATATCCCCCCGATTTTTATTTATTATTGATTTATTATTAATATTATTGTTATATTATTATTGATTTTTTCAAGTGCCACGTAAAAATAATTCCTCAGGCCTCGGATCGTTCAATAAGTGATTCAAAATTTGTTCGCTTGCGACTAGTGAGACCAATTCGGAAAATACGATTGCGAACTCTAATACACTGTTATGGACGGTCTCAATTTCCCTGGAAAAATGCAGCAAAATGTTTTTTTACGAGCTTTTTGAGCACATGGAAAAAATCTCGTCGAGTGGAGTCACTTTTTCCGGGGTTGTTTCGATGCGGCGGTCCGCGAGGCACTGAGCCCGAGAGACTCGCGACAACAACAGGCATCAAAGCAGCAGCTATTATAATCCTAAAGAAGAAAATTTATTTTCCTACTTTTATTATTTTTTAAATATACTGCATGTGATCCACATCATAAAAGGCGTGGTTTTGAATAATAACTCCGTCTCGACGGAGAGACCCGTAAAAGGGCTGCTCGCTCTGCGATTTATGCATACTGTCTTTATTGTTTTTTTTTATTTTTTTTACTAAAGAGCGTATTATTGTTTTTCGCTTCAGGTGATGAGGGTTCAGTGAACCAACCTGCTGGGAGCAGGGTTCCCTGGTATAACCGCATTCCTGGCTACTGCCAGCAGGTTTTAACGCCACTTAACGTCAGAAGATACAGTTTCATAAAGTACCGGGATAAACTTTGCATTTTCTCGCGCCTTTTTTCTCCTTTTTAAACGCACGAGGCGCATACATGTAGCTTAGCGGATCTCCGCGTTTACAGTTGTTCTCATGCGACAGTCCACGACACCTATGAAACTGGAGGGCAAGCACAGCTTAGCGGCGATCGACCAGGTGTCGCGCGAAGTAGCAAATACCGGCCGCGTTATTCCTAATGGAAGGATACTTTTCTACAGTATACTATACAGTATTCTGTTCCATTATTTTAATTGTCAAGCACTCTAGGTTCAGTATATAGTCCCGCGGAGTAGTCTTCTTTGAAAGTTATTATAATTATTGAAAATTATTAATCACTCTTCTCATTCACCAGGATTCAAATCTAAAAGAAAACGACGTTGGGTAAAAATCAAAATTCAAGCTTATTCGAAAATCGAATTGGAGTGTTCTATTTTCGTTTTATTTGAATTGGAGGATCATTGACAACAGTTTTCTAGAATTTTTCAAAGGTGAGGGGAATTTGACCATAAAAAAACTTACCCAACATGACTCACTTGTGAAATGTTCCAAAATTTTACTAAAAAATCGTTACTGAATTTTGCGCGAAGTCCTTGCGTCAGCAGTTCCGTAATTTCCGTGGAAATCACGACAAACATTTTAAAGATGAAGCGAAATGTTGAACGCAATTTGCTCATAAAAGCTGATCCTCTCCATTCTCCACGTTTCCACCGACACAGAATAGCCACACTCGTCGAGGAAAAATAAGCGAGAACCAATCAAAAAAAACAAAAAAAAAAGCACACAAGTCCACAGGATCTTCACAAACTCGCCGCAAAAATCAGAAAAGGACTCATCCAATGACTGTTGCACAAAACCGTGGACTTGACTCATTTGTTCCCTCGTCGAAGCGACTCAATGCGAAACCAAAAAAAAAAAAAAGATGAAAACCACAAAAAATCGTCTTTCTGATGCCTCTTTTCCTTTCTTTTCTGAAAACGCAAAAAAAATTGCGCAAATCATCGTCCCCCCTTTTATTTTTGGTATCTCAAAAGTCGGATTTCAACAATGACTTCACGGGTGACCCTGATTGTTTTTTTAATCTGTTCTTTCGAAAAAAAACAAAAATCCCAAATCAAATTCTCTCAAGATAGCAATTCGTCTTATCACATTCTCCAGCAGCAAATAAACCAAAGCGATTGAGTTTCCGTTCATCCGGCAAAATGTTTGTACCAGCCAGTGCGTAACTTTCATAAAATGGCTTTCATCAGATTCCTACAATTGTTTTTTTTTGTCGGGTTTCAAACAAATGGTCAGGTGACTAAACTGATGGATTTTTTCCAGCGGTGCACAAAAAGCATAAATGAGTTGTTCTATGACGAATATTCTTGTTGATGAAGGGAAAATCAAACCGCTAAAGCAAGACACCGCTTCAACACCCGACACGTTCAATTCATTCAGGAAAATATAAAAAAAGACTCCAAGTAAAATTGCTAAAAATGAAAATCTTTGTCAAATAATTGCACACGTCGTCCAGGGAACATTTAGTTCTCGAGCCCAATCTTTGGAAGCAGAAAGGAACTTTAAAAACATTCGAGACAAACAAAGCTTGCGAAATTTCTGTTGAACACTTTTCAACTTGTAACCATCATAATTTATAACACTCCCTGATTTCGATAAAATAACATTCACTAGATAATTTCCGGAGACTGCGACTTAAAACAACAAAACGTCACGAGAGACTGAAAAATTTGAGCATAAGAATCATTCCGCCAATTGATATTCAGTACTGGTTCATTACAGCTGAAAATAAATCCACTTCCTGCTCTCGCACGATAATTCACAAACCCCTTCCAGACGTAAATTAAAGTACATCAAAATTGATAAATTCAGTATCGTTCCGAAATGAGCTGCATTCTTTTTTCATCGTTTCCCCGCACTCTCTTAAAAACGCATCATGAATATGTGCGTGGAAAAATTGCCTACCATTGTTGATACTACTGTACTCCTAAAATATTACAAAAATTTAATTAAATTTATGAAAGCATGACCTAGTGAGGATATAAGAATAAAATCATACAATGAATGCCGTCCCCTATAAAATTTTTGCAACGATCAACAAAGTCACAATTTTTTGCGAACAGTCTCCGGACAAGAAGTCCCTTGAAGTGCAAAATGCATTATAACCTTTGATTCGGAAAAATCCATATACGAGGCCCTTGCCTTAAAAATACCTCAATTACTCCGGATTTTGTCGCTTATTTTTCAAATGAACTCCCGGTTAGAGAAAACTAGAAAACAATTGGCTGTCCAAAATATTTAGAAATCAAAATTCGTGGAATCATGACTGACTATGCTGAAGCTTTGAGTGAAAAATCTTTCAATGATTATAATAATTTTTTTAAACTTATTACTGTACAACGAGCAACACAGTCTCAGTTCTCACGACCGGTCTTCGAACAAGAAGTCACTTGAAATTGAAATACAGTATTTCTTTTATATTTGTCGCTTTTCGAAAAAATAAACCAGTCAAGAGATCTTGTACCTTCGAAAATACCTCAATTATTCAGACTTTTTTCGTTATTTCTTTTTCAAACGAACTTCCAGTTGGAAAGAAAGAGGAATAAAAAAGTAGAATTTTTTTTCCGTCTTAAACGGGATGAACGTGTCGGAATTGATGCAGGCGATGCACACTATACGAACTGCTCAATCACACACAAGCTTCGAATCATTTGAATTCAATAAAACAAGCGCACAAATCAAAATAATGATAAAAAACCCCACATAAAATCAATGAC